ATCACCTATCCTTCACTCAACTTACACATCTTTCAATCAAATCACTTATCCTTCAATCCACCCACATATCGGTCCATCAAATCACTCATCCTTCCATCCACCCACATATCGGTCCATCAAATCACTTATCCTTCCATCCACCCACATATCCGTCCATTAAATCACTCATCCTTCCATCCACCCACATATCGGTCCATCAAATCACTCATCCTTCCATCCACCCACATATCGGTCCATCAAATCACTCATCCTTCAATCCACCCACATATCGGTCCATCAAATCACTCATCCTTCCATCCACCCACATATCGGTCCATCAAATCACTCATCCTTCCATCCACCCACATATCGGTCCATCAAATCACTCATCCTTCAATCCACCCACATATCGGTCCATCAAATCACTTATCCTTCCATCCACCCACATATCGGTCCATCAAATCACTCATCCTTCCATCCACCCACATATCGGTCCATCAAATCACTCATCCTTCAATCCACCCACATATCGGTCCATCAAATCACTCATCCTTCCATCCACCCACATATCGGTCCATCAAATCACTTATCCTTCCATCCGCACAGATATCGGTCCATCAAATCACTCATCCTTCCATCCACCCACATATCGGTCCATCAAATCACTCATCCTTCCATCCACCCACATATCGGTCCATCAAATCACTCATCATTCAATCCACACACATATCGGTCCATCAAATCACTCATCCTTCAATCCACCCACATATCGGTCCATCAAATCACTCATCCTTCCATCCACACACATATCGGTCCATCAAATCACTCATCCTTCCATCCACCCACATATCGGTCCATCAAATCACTCATCCTTCCATCCGCACAGATATCGGTCCATCAAATCACTTATCCTTCAATCCACACACATATCGGTCCATCAAATCACTTATCCTTCCATCCACCCACATATCGGTCCATCATATCGGTCCTTCAATCCACCCACATAAATCAAATCACTTATCCTTCCATCCACCCACATATCGGTCCATCAAATCACTCATCCTTCCATCCACCCACATATCGGTCCATCAAATCACTTATCCTTCCATCCACCCACATATCGGTCCATCAAATCACTCATCCTTCCATCCACCCACATATCGGTCCATCAAATCACTCATCCTTCAATCCGCACAGATATCATTTATTCTACGATCCACCCACATATGGTAAATCAAATCACTTATACCCCCTTTCCCTCGTATATCTATCCCTCTTGCCCTTCCACCCATATCGACTTATCTAATCACCCCTCAATAAAACCAACCAACCAACCAACCACCCCCGTCCCTCGCGTCTACACAAGATGTTTTCTATGCATGAGTCACAACATATGTTTACTTCATCTGACACTCAGACAACCCTTGTTTGATATTCAGTACGTGGCATGTGCACGTAAACATGCCAGAACGTTTAACGAGCTCTTTTTGTATCCCTATTTGACCCGCGCGTGGCTGTTCCCGTTTCTGGACAGACAGACCCAGAAAGTGGCTGGATCTCGACAGGAACTCGTTCTACGGCCGCTCCCCAAAGCTCATTGTAATACCGGGATTTGTCCAGAAAGGAGGCCACGTAAATCGAGGTCAACATGCAGTGTGTATCTGCGTGATCCACTGGGCAGTTCTCGCGAGACAAAACTTGATACATCTGGACTAAATCGCCATATGTCAATGGTCAGTAAGTTGTATTTTACCGATAGTACATTCACCATATCAGTTGTATGATCCCAGGGAGTTGAGATTGATAATACGATGTGCCCGTGAGATTTACATCCAATGATCGAGGGGAAAAAATAACACCGCCTTGAGCATGTACTAGCTGCGTGAATATGTGCGCTATATAAATATATAATAATAATAACACAGAGAAGAATTATGAGCTATTTAATAATTATGTATTTCCTAAATACTGAGACCATTTTCAACATTAACTTTTCAGAAATCTTTACATTGATTTTCTTTGTTAAAATGAGGGGTATGTGAGGTTGATAATTTTCTGTCATCAGTACCCCTTTCTGGCATCAGTACCCCTTTCTGGCATCAGTAACCCTTTCTGGCATCAGTAAGCATCAGTAACCCTTTCTGGCATCATCAGTAACCCTTTCTGGCATCAGTACCCTTTCCCAGTAACCCTTTCTGGCATTCTGGCATCAGTAACCCTTTCTGGCATCAGTACCCCTTTCTGGCATCAGTAACCCTTTCTGGCATCAGTAACCCTTTCTGGCATCAGTAACCCTTTCTGGCATCAGTAACCCTTTCTGGCATCAGTAACCCTTTCTGGCATCAGTAACCCTTTCTGTGGCATCAGTGACCCTTTCTGGCATCAGTAACCCTTTTGGCATAAACTGGGCCAGTAACCCTCGGGCGGATCTGTTGAGTAAACTGGGCCAAAGTATGCGCGTCGACAATAGACGAGGATACGGTATAATCGAGATTATCTCTTCGAGTTGTCACCGTTATCTTCTTCACTGTGTATACGCCACAGAGAGACAATAACACCTGAATTAATGATAATATTCAAGATTAAAGTTTTATATAATTTAATGCAATGCGGGTTATGCCCTCGCTGAAATGAAACTTACTCGCGATCGGGTCGCAATTAGTTGTTAAATTGATGAGCAGTGAAGAGAAATTTTCATTCATTCATTCGCAATCGATTCGACCTGCTAACCCTTTTTTGATATCGTGATATAGTGGGAATGTTGCTAAAACCAACACTCACTAATACGGATTAACAACATTATGCATGACATGAATAATTAAGATGCATAGTGTGGCTCGCCGTATTGAACGTCAAGTTAATCTCACTTAGACACATTATTGCTGATATTATTATCAATGTGCGCATCTACTGTGTCACGTGACACGTGACACGTGACACGTGACACGTGATGTCATCGCTGTTTGATCTGGATTTCTCACATATAGTGAGGGTACAACAAACAGCGTGTTACTGTGTGTTGAGGACTTGCTGGATAATGCCGTAAGTGAAGCCTAGATACATTTCTACCCCCTTTAACTCGATACTACATTTTAGACGAATTACATTTAGGATACGACGGACCATATGCGCACTGTATCTGGTATCGATACTATCCCTGATTCGCAACACCGAGAGTTAATCTATTTGAGTTTTATTCGGGTTAACAAAGTTGATAAAAGTTTGATCTGGAAAATCGTTAGATTAAATCATATATGTTTTGACCTGAGTATTAAACAGTGATATTATATCTAAGTTTTCAAATTCAAACTTATCCTATTGTAATTGTAAAATCGTACCCGAACCACGTGAATGCTGATATTGATCACTGAAAGTAAAGATTTTTGAAGAAGTAGTAGTAAGTGCATGAGTGAGTGAGTTTTAAGCTTCTTTTAGCAATAGCCTGCAATATCGCAACTGGGGACACCAGACATTGGCTTCACACGTTGTATCTAAGCAAAAACTTGAACTCGGGTCTTCGGCCGACGAGCGAACGCATTAACCTTTGGGCTACCGTACCGCCTAAGAGTGAGTGAGTGAATATGGTTTTACGCCGCATTTAGCAATATTCCAGCAATATCACGACGGGCAGAAATGGGCTTCACACTTTGTACCCATGTGGGGAATCGAACCCGGGTCTTCGGCGTGACGAGCGAACGCTTTAACCACTAGGCTACCCCACCGCCCCCGTACCGCCTAAGAACAAGTAACACGTACGAGGAGATAGGCCAAGGTTATCCCTTGGTATTACTTATTGACCTCTCACGCCCTATACCACAGGGTTCCAGTGTGTGGTCAAGATTAGATTGTCATATTCGCATGGTGGGATTGTTAAAGGATGCCGCGTTAAGCAACAAACGAACGCTGCCATTTAAATGGTATGTTATGGATTACACTTTCCCATTAAAGTACACATTCTTGATCGGATGGGAATCAAATTAAAAATGTACAAGATTCAGAGAAAGTGTAACCCTAAATGTAACATATGTTACACCCGACCATTGCGAAAAAGGACATTGTGTATTCCGAACACTGACATTGTCGGGAGAATCGGTTAATGCAGGTGGATGCTGTAGAACAGGATATCTGTATCCTTTTCGACAACAACAAATATTCAGTGATTTATTTATACAATGTTCATCAATAACGCGTCTTTTTTCGACCAATGGAATCACTTTCGGCACATCACTCAGATTATTCTCTCGTGTGAATTCTCAAAACGTGACACTGAGAATATATCAAACACTTTTATCAACAATGAAGACATTTTCAAAAGCCTTAGGTAGCTGGATAATTAGTGAAGATATACTTCTTCTATACACGGACGTGCTAAATCAGGAACCGTGGTCACGCGAGGCCAGCGTTATGCCCCTGAGAATAAACAATAATGTTTAACTTTCCATTTAGAATTAGAAGTTTCCGGCGTCGTTTTGTATGATAGCTAATCGCATGGACACGATCCCCGGAAAGTTCAAATAACTGTATCGTCACATCTGGGTTTACTACCTCTCTAGATGTTATTCTGTGTTTATTCTTACCCGTGTACGTAGGTGGTACGTTACACTGTGACTCAGCGTTAATCGTGTCACATGCTATACATCAGGTTATATATTATGTTGCTTAAACTACAATTGTGTAGATACACAATCTTGTGATGCGATAAATGTATCTCGCGAATTTTTTCAAGTGGTATTTTTTACATTCTGAAAAAGTTGATAGTACAATATATATTTTCAGTTTTGTATATGTGAGATATAATTATGTAACACATGCAATAGTCATTGTTAGAATATATATTTACGCGGGAAATGTTTGAAGCATAACGAATTAGTTGGTATGGTATTTTGGCTTCATATGACATAAATAATAATAATAATTACATATCTCGTGGAACAGCTTTTTTCAAGCTTGGTGTGTCCAAGTGACTGTTTCATGTCGTCTTTACTTTTCGCCAGACGTTTTCACATTTTCTTTTTATTCAGGAGAGAACGGACAGACGGACAGCCAGAAAGACGAGCAGACCAACACTGGTTGATCCGTGATCAAGGTACAGTGAAGATTGGGATTAGAACTGGTCTTGTATGAGGCGACTAAAGGGGTCGTGTGGTCAGGCTCTCTGACTTGACTGATGCATGTGATCCCAGCTGGAAGATCGATGCTGATGATATCAATCACTGGATTGTCTGGTCAGGCTCGATTATTTACATACCACCGTCATACAGCTGTATGGATGGGACGATTCACCGATACATCGATACATCGTAATACATTTAAGTTTTCAAAACAGTTTTATCTTAAAAATGTTAAAGTACTTATTTAGATAAAAATACGCAAGTATGATAGAGTAACTTACTTGTTTATTACAATAGTGTTATTGTTATACACAAATACCTTGAAATAAATCACTTTAAATCATTAATACTGTGCCATTCTTTCAAGGTGTATATATGTATCACAGGTAAAATATCGCGATACGTATCGTATCGTGACATAGTGTATCGTATTATATTCGTATAACTGGAGTATTGCTGAGTGTGGCGTTAAGTACAAACAGACAAACAACCTTGTTTGATGTATTAACATCCATTGGTTTTAAACCTTCCCTACATCTCAGATCGATGCTCATGCTGTTGATCACTGGGTTGTCTGGTCCAGACTCGATTATTTACAGACCGCCGACATATAGCTGGAATAGTGCTGAGTGCGGCTTAAAACTAAATGCGTCACTCACTCACATAGCATGTATTAGTTTTCATCGTTGTGCAAAGCGGAATGTTTCAGGTGAAAAGGACACCTTCAATTATCAAGGCACATTGACGATACAACTATAATGCTTATAATCAGAATATGTGAATGTTTACAAAGTGGGTACGCGTCACTAACCAGTACGACACCTGGAGGATATGTCGATACCATGCTGATTCTATACAGTGAAGTGTGTGGGGGCGTGGTTACGTAACATCGGTATCAACAACACAGGAGATTTATCGTTGGTTATACAGACCACAATAGGTATATTTCAACTGGGATGGGCTGGGTCTTTGTTTGATTCGCTTAGTGAGTCTCGATTTATATTTGTGACGGTTGACAGGTACAGAATCACTGAACACGCTCTGTTGCTTTAAGGAAACACGTGTACTCCGGCTTACATTTACCACGTGGGTAACAGTTGAGGGTGGGAGGTGATGTCACATTCACAGGTGTATAAATATCCGCCTATCATCGAATCTTGTTTTATCGCCCAGATTTGGTCCAGCCAGTACAATTTACTCGTGTTTTCTTTCATATAGAGATTGACGGCGATAATGATATACAGCGGTCTGAAGCTACGCCCCCACAAGTTCGCTGTATATCAAGTGGGAACCCATTGAAAACACACTCCATAACTTGTCCCTTGCAGTCCAAACATACAATGGAACTCATTTCAAGCATCACGTTGGCGTTTGGAGTTCTCGGATTCAGTGCACTGGTCGCAAAGTGGACGCTGTCCAGAAGGAAGTTATCGCTACCCCCAGGGCCAACCCTCCTGACTGTTATACGAGATCTCTACAAAGCTGGTTTTTCGAATTCAGCCCATACTCAGTTTGAACAATGGGCTAGACGATATGGCGAATTGTTCTGTGTGTCGATCCCCGGACAGACCATTATTGTTATCAACTCCGTGCGAGTCATCCGCGAGTTGTTCTCCGGTACCTACAAAACTATCACCAATGACCGACCTCCTAGCTTTGTGGGCAAGTATGTGTTTCGAGGCTGCGGTATCACCTTCTCAAGTGCTGGAAAATATTGGAGAAAACTCAGGCAACTATTTCACTCGTCGGTAAACATGCATGTGGACGGGGGCATGAAGATTGAAAACACTCTTAGGTCCGAAATGAAGGTGACTCTCGGCGAGTTGAACATTCAAGCTGAATCTGGCACTGTGCAGCTGCATGAGATCATTTCCGATTATCTAATGAACGTCCTTCATATTCTTGTGAGTATGTTTGGATTTATCGCCATATTGATGACGTTTCTTTAAAACTAATTGTCCTCATATATATATGATATATATTGTATACGGGCGGCGGGAAAGCCTAGTGGTTAAAGCGCACGCTCGTCACGCCGAAGCCCCCGGTTCGATTCCGCACATGGGTAAAGTGTGTGATACCCATTTCTGGTGTCCCCCGCTGTGATATTTAGGGAATATTGCTAAAGGTGGCGTAAAACTAAACTCACTCACTCACTATAGTTTTTTATGCTTCTGTCGAGGGTAATACGGTCTGATGTACGCCTCTTTGTAGTAGTGTCACCCAACCGGTATAACACTACTACACAGATGCGTACATTAGACCGTATTTTACATGAAGGTATAAATATTCATTCTAGTACAATGTCATTCATGCAGTGTCACCAGAAATACTGTTGTTATGATGGCCTTGATTTAGCTCTCCTGGTTCTCGTTACGGCTGGTGTCCCGCCGCCGCGATATTGCTGGAATATTGCTGAAAGCGGCGTAAAACTAAACTCACTCACGCACTCTCGTTATGGGTTTTGAACGCCGTCTGTTGGCCCGACCGTTAGCACTGTACCTCTTCTAATCTACAGAACTAATCATTACTATTTTCATATGACAAGGTCAACATGCTCCAGGTTATACTATTTACACATTTTGAAAACACTCCCAATGGCCTAAGTAACAGTTTGTGATAAGCCCAGCTTTCCCGTTAAACTCTTCTCTGCAGTACCTGGGTGAGGTGAGGTGAAATTGGGTTTAACGTCGTGCTTGAGAATATTTCGCTCATATGACGACGTGCATGCGTGTGTATGGGTATGTGCGGCTGCTTGTACTAGCCCAGACTGAAGCTGGTTTTATAGTGCTAGTCTCACTGAGATACCATGCCGCAGTGAAGCATGAATACCCCACTCAGACACATTATACTGACTCCGAGCCGACCAGTCCTTGTTGTACCCATTAATGCCGAGCGCAAGGCAGGGACCAACAAGTACCATATTTTAACGTCTTTTGGTATGACGCGGTCGGGGATCGAACCCGCGACCTTCCGCTCTCCGGGCGGACGCTCTAACCACTACACCACGGAGGCGCACCTATTAGTACCTATTGCTTATGTTTCGGACGATGTTCATGAGAATCTCTTCTCAGATGACCTCATGTTCAGAAAATGGTGTTTATTGTCAGTTAAATATCCAGTTTTGTCTACCATATACGTATTGTGCTTTAAATATACTACCCATCAAAAGTTTAGACTCACTAGTGTAAATGTAGCCACTTACTTCAGTCAACTGATCTTAACTAGATTTTGCTAAATATTCCATAATATTTAAAGGTACTGTAAAAACATGCACTGATGTATTGTAAAACAAATTCGTTACGTCGAAAAAATAATTTTCGTGAGTTCAATAAATCATGAATCTCAGTGAAAATTGGCGAATTCTTAACAAAACTGTACCAAAACACCAAAACGCAGCTGTTCACATGCACAATATTTGCACATGCTTTTCAGAAAATTGATGCATGATCCTCGTGCAATTCATCTGTATAATGTTTGCGGATGGTTCCCCTAAGTTAGTGGAGAAATTCATCTTCGATGTAACCGTATATATCCATAACATTATAGTGAGTGCTTTATGTGAGTCTAAACTTTTGATGGGTAGTATGTTTACATTTTCTAAAACGACAAGGTATCCACTTTTGAAATAAGCATGGTGAAATATTGCTAAAAGCGGCGTAAAACCACACTCACTCGCTCATTTTCGGCAAATTCCTGGATTCATTCGTAGTTCGCGCAATCTCAAATTACTCGCCCTTGATGTTTGTTAAAATTTCACCAACCCGTCAGACAGCCAGACATGAAAGAGTACATGGGTAAGGGTGGAACACGTACCGCTGTGCTACGGCCATCGAACCTGGGTTGAAACTCGCATTCTGACTCTTTTTGAAACCGAATAGTTTTGAAAGCTGGCTTATACAATTCAAGGACGGGGAATCCGAGATCGCGATAGATCCAGAGGGTAGTGTAGGTTACCCGAAATGCGAGCTCTCAAGATATAGAGGTACCAGTTAACAACGTTTCAGTGAATACAATAACATTAAGTGCAATCAGATAGAACTCAACTCCATTCATCCTCGAGATAGCCATCTATTGTTGTGTATCTTTGATTCCATTCCATTCCGTCCACACCCTTCCATTTGTACAGTTTGATTCCTTGTGTTTGTCCCATTCCATTCTTGTCTTTTTCATTCCATTTTCCATTGTTGTGTATGTCCCACCACATGCATTCCATTTTCCGATTGTTGTGTTCCGTCCCATTCCATATCCAGTTTGATTGTTGTGTATTCCACATCTTCATTACGTTCCAGTTTGATTGTTGTATTCGTGTCCATTACCATTATGTTCGAGTTTGATTGTTGTGTTTGTCCACCCACATGTACAGTTGTGATTGTTGTATTGCTGTTGTGTCCATCCCCATGTCCAGTTTGATTGTTGTAGTATGTCCCACCTTCATGCACAGTTTGGATTGTTGTGTTTGTCCACCCTGTTTCCAGTACATGTGTTTGTGATTGTTCCAGTTGTCCATGTTTGTCCACCACATGTACACAGTTTGATTGTTGTTATCTCCATGTTGGTCCAGTTTGATTTTCAGTGTTGTGTTGTCCTTCCATTTTTCATGTTGTGTTTCCATGTCCATTGTCGTTGTCCTTTGTCGGTGTGTCCACATGTACATTTTGATTGTTGTGTTTGTCCATGTTCACATGTGTGTTCCATTGTGTTGTTGTTTGTCCACATGTACAGTTTGATTGTTTTGTATGTCCATGCTCATGTTCAGTTTGTGGGATTGATTGTGTTTGTCCATCCATGTTCCGGATTCGATTGTGTGTTAGTCCTTCATGTTGTTGTGTTTGTTCATGTTTTGATTCCTCCCATCCACATGTTTGGATTCATTGTGTTTGTCCCATGTTCCATTGTTCATTCCGTACAGTTCGATTGTTGTGTATGTCCCACCTCATGTTCCAGTTTGATTGTTGTGTTCGTCCCCCTCCATGCTTCAGTTTGATTGTTGAGTTTGTCCCACCCACATGTCATTCCGTTGATTTTGTCCATTCTCATCCACCATGTACAATTTGATTGTTGTGTTTGTTCCATCCATTCCGGATTTCCATTTGTTGTCCATTTGTCCACCCTCCATTTCATCCATTCTTCTTCCATTTGATTCCATCATTTATCCTGTCCATTTGTCCATTCCACATTGATTCCATGTTGTCCCATTTTCAGTTTATTGTCACAGTTTGTCCATATTTGGATTCAGTTGTGTTTAATCCACCCTTCTTCAGTTGATTCCATTGTGTTCCACCCATCCTTCAGTTGTTGTGTTCCATTCCTTCCATGTACCAGTTCGGATCATTGTGTTCTGTCCCATGTCCATGTACCATTTGATTGTTATGTATCCACCTTCCTTCTTTCAGTTTGATTGTTGTGTGTCCACATATTTGGCGTTTTGTCCAGTTGTTGTGTGTGTCCATGCTTCAGTTGTTGTGTTTGACCTTCATGCTTCAGTTTGTGTTTGTCCACATGTTCAGATTGTGGTGTTGTGTTGTCCATATTCATGTCTCCAGTTTGGGATTGTTGTGTTTGCCTCCCGTATTCCGTTCCGATCATGTGTGTTTGTCCACATTTCCAGTTGTGTTGATTGTTGTGTCGGTTATCCATCCCATTATTTCAGTTGGTCAGTGGGATTGTCACATGTGGTTATGTGTTTGTTCCTCCACATGTACAGTTTGATTGTGTTGTCCATATTGGGTTGTGTTCACTGTACAGTTTGATTGTTGTCCCTGTCCACACCGTTCAGTTGTACAATTGTGTCCATGTTCGGTTGTGTCTGTCAATTCCATGTCCATTCCTCCAGTTCGATTCCAGTTGATTGATTATTTGTCCCATTCCATTCCATGTGATTCGATCCATTTCAGTTGATTGTGTTTGTCCATGTTCCACATGTTGTGGATTCCATTCAGTTGGTGTTTGTCTTGGGATTCCATGTTGTGTTTGTCCATGGATTGTTCCGGTTGTTGTGTTTGTCCATGTCCATGTTTGTCAGTTGTCGGTGGCCTGGCCATGTGTGGGTTGTGCCAGTTCAGTTGTCCTCCACATGTGTCCATCCATGCCACCGTTGTTGGGTTGTCAGTTCCTTGATTTGGTTGTTCCTGTCCACATGTTCCAGTTTGATTGTTGTGTATGTCCACCATGCAGTTGTTTGTCCATGTAAGTTGATTGGGTTGTCCAGTTATGTCCCATCTGTCCATGGTTCGGATGTGTGTTTCCGTCCATGTTCCAGTTTATTGTTGTGTTGTCCATGTTCGAGTTGATTGTGTTTGTCCCACTCCATGTGCAGGTTGGATTGTGTGTGTCCCATTCCATGCATTCAGTTTGGATTTGTTGTGTTCTGTCCACCCCAAGGCATTCGTTTGATTTGTCCGTGTGTGTCCACTCTCACATTCAGTTTGTTGTGTTTGTCCCATCTCATGCACAGTTGTTGCAGTGTATGTCCACCCACATGTTCCAGAAGTTTGATTGTTGTGTTGTCCATGTTCCAGTTGATTGTTGGGTTCGTCCACCTTCATTCCAGTTGTCTGATTGTTGTTCCTCCTTCCGTTGGGTACATTCCATATTGTTGAGTCCATGTTCCGGATTCCATGTGTGTCATTTTGATTGTTGTGTTTGTCCACACATGTACAGTTTATTCCAGTGCTTGTCCACATGTACACAGTTTTATGTTGTGTTTGTCTTCCACATGTGTTTCAGTTGTTGTGTTGTCCCACCTACATGTACAGGTCTTTATTATTTCCTCACACATGTATGTTTCATTTGTTCCGGTTGTCTTGTCTCCATGTTCAGTTTGGTTGTTGTGTTGTCCATGCATGTATTGCTTCTGGTTGTTCCATTCCGGTTTGTCCATATTGTACATGCTTGATTGTTCTGT